ACCCCTCATTTGCGTTCAGTATGGAAGCCAGTGCCCGCGGTGAAAAAATGAACGGCCGGGTTTGAACTTTTAAAGTGTAGCCAATCCGCGTGCGTCCCGTTGGGCCTTTTGGCCAATCGCCGCGCACCCCTACCCCGCTTGTATTTTAATCTTTTTTTGCTGGTTCGGGGCAGTTCCCATTTCGCCAGCGCCCGACCAAGCCGAGCAGCATGTCGACGACGATCATGAACGCGTGCAGCTGCAAGAAGCGCAAGTGCCCCCGCTGCTGCGAGCAGATGCTCGTCCAGAACCTCTTCAAGGTGCTCGTCAAGCTGCCCGAGAAGAGCATTGAGTTTCGCTGCGTCCGCGCGCTCCTGAGTGGCAGCTTCACCAACATCAACCTCAACTCGACGCTCGCCTCGTGCGGCTACACGGTCAACGTGGCGCCCCACAGCTACGCGGCCGGTACGTCGGCGGCGACGAGCGAGACAAGTTGGCTCATGCAATTTACGTAGGTCGCCGCGACTTTTCGCTCCTCGAGAAGGGCCATAGCTTGACGAAGAACCCCAACTCGCCGAACGCGCCGCGCCGTGGCCGCCGTGGCATCTCCAAGGTGTTTCGCCAAGAGATTGCGCGCTACTTTGCGCTCGGCCAGGCCATGGACGCGTCGCAGTGCCTCATGTGGCTCAAGTCGAACGTGCTCGACGAGACCAACTACCCGACCGAAGAAGAGATCCACCGCGTCTTGACCAACCTGAGCCAGCCCAAGACAAAGAAGGCGCCGGGTGAGGGCGGCGAAGGCGGCGAGCGCCGCGGTCGCAAGCCCAACCCGTATCGCACGCAAGTGACGATGTTTTTGCTCAACAACAAGAACGCCAACCCCAACGACTGCTACCAATGGCTCATGCAGAACTACCTGAACCCGGAGCTGCCGCAGCCCGACCTCAAGCAGATCAAGACGCTCATCAACAACATCAAGTCGAACCCGACGTTCCGGTCCCAGGCTATGTACTAAGCAGCCGCATCGTGTGTGTGTCTGCGCTGCTCGATATGCCATTATATATTTGAACCCTGGACGTGTTGCGTTTTTCAAGTCCATCGAGCTGCCGACTTTGGACGATGGTCTCAAAGCATGGTTTCATTTCTACAAGTCGCAGGGCCTGGCTATCTGCACGCACCGCGGTACCGACGCCACTCTGGCCTAAGCTGCCAGCGCCCAGCCCGCCATGCTAGTACAGAGAAGAACTACTCACTGAGATTAGCTCTCCACCCATGCTTGGAGATGTGTTGGTATGGCTGCGGCTGCCATGTGATAAGACCGTCAACCGAGTCGCCGCAAGCGTCGCCGGTTACACACGGATCCGTCCATATCCAAGTAGTCCCAAGGATTTTGAATAGCACCCTTTGCTAGTACAATATTGCACAAGCTTTTTATGGACCGACGTTAGCGCGAAACGTTCGCTGCACTTTCCCAGAGTTGGAGATGGCGTCTCAGGCAGCGCTCTCGTCGCGCCAGCGGGCAGTTGCCGTCTGCGGCGTTGTCTACGTGCTGCTTTCGCTCGTCGGTGGTGTGTGGTACCTCCGTCTTCTGGGCCCTAGCTTCGCCAACGACCTCTGGTGGGCCCACTACAACATCTCGGGCCACCAAGCCTACCTCGTCGACCTTGTCAACCAGCTTCTTTTGACGCATGACAATGGCACCGTGGATCCGTTTGCCGCCGCCGCAGTGCTGCCCAAGACGTACCTCTCGCCCGAGTCGAGCACGCACGTCTTCTCGTCCGACATTCGAGCGTTCACGCTCGGTCGCCTCACGTCGCTCGAGTATGCAGTCCCACAGCTTCGCGATTTGGGCGCGTACTGGGCTCTGCGCATGAACACGCAACACTGCTGGATGGACTTTAACAAAACGTTCCAAGTCGCCCACACGCTTGGCCGCCAGCGCCGCTGCGAGCGCTTCTACGCGACCAATGGCGCCGTCTTCATCGAGGCCATGTTGCGCAACCAAAACATCCCCGACTTTCTCGCGCTCTGGGGGGTCACCGGCCAGCGCTTCAACGTCGCGTACTACCGAGGTCTTGTCGAGACAGCGCGCGGGCAAGCGTTCTGGGCGCAGGTGACCAGCGTGACGACGTCCGTGATCGACGAGATTGCGTACTGGAGGTCGTTCAATGTCTCCCACTTTGCGCTGCAGTGGCAAAACCGGTGGGGACCCTCGATCACCGAGACGATCGTGATGGAAAACGCTTTGGGGATGCAAAAGCAGATCATCCTCAAGGCGCTGGATCAAGTCACGGGACCGTGGTCGTCCCAGACCATGCACTGGATCCCGATTCAAGATACCTTCAACGCCCAGGCCATGAACCGCAGCTTTCTTCAAGGGACGAGCCGGTACTTTGGCGCCAACAACTCGGCGCTCGGCTTGAGCGCAATTAGCCTCGAGGTGTACCGAGGCATCGCCGACGCCCAAGGCAACCTCGAAGGCGTCGCTCGAGTCTTTCACGACACGATTGGACCGTACTTGAGCATTGACTTGCGTCTGTGCTTGCCCCCCGCCAGTCTCGTTGGCCTCTACAACCACTTTCAACAAGTGGTCATGGACCACGTGCGAGGCTCGGAAGCAGCCATGACAGCGTTTCTCGCCCTCCCAGAGACCACCACGTTTTTGCCAACACCGCTGGCGTGGACCAACATGACGTTCTTCGGCGGCAACCCCATGTGTTCGTCCGGTGTTCCGACCCCGTTCGTACAGCAGTCGTTTGACTTTTACGATACATGCGCGCAGCTCGCACCGCTCTCACTGCGTCTCACGCGACTCTCGATGTTGTTTGGACTGCTGGTCACGCCACGGACAGCCCTACCAGATATTTGCGCCACGACATCGACACCCAACTGGTGTGCCTTGTCGCCGGCGTCGTCGCTGCTTGCGTCAGTGTCCATCCCTTCCGAGATGCTACGGCTGCAACGCGACGCTTTCAACGATGTCCGAGCCATGAACGTCGGGCTTGTTCAGTTTGTCGCTGCAGGTAACTCGAGCCATATTGCGCTGGACCATGTGCCGCTGGTCGACTGGCCATTCTTTGGCCATCACATCGTGTTCGAGTGGGCCGCTGGACTCCGTGAAGTGCTCTTCATCGAGGGTGATGTCGGCGCCGTCACTGTCGTCTCCAACGCATACGCGGGTCAGCCGTACATTACGAGCAACACATCCTTCGAGACGGCGACGACAGCACTTTTGTACCTTGTGCAAGTCACGACAGGCCTCCTCCTCTTTGTGGGCGTGCTCACAATGGTGTACGTCACCCTCTTTGCCCGCGGCCGTGTCCTCGGCCTCAACCTCTTTCGGTTCAACCGGTTGGTTGGCGCCGTCTGGATCGGCCGACCGCTGGTCGTTCTCCGTGGTATCAGCGCGCTTTTGCTCCTTAGCTCGGCCCAAGTGAGCTTGCAAGTGACGCCATTGGGCACGACCTTGGCGCCACATCCCCGCTCCATCGGCAACGCGATGGTCATCGCCGGTGAAGCCACGTGGCTCACGTACGTCATCAACGACGTGCTTATCGTGCTGTTACCAAGAGACGTCACGACCCAGTACAGTCCGAGAAGCACCTGTCTTGTCTGGCTGAGCCTGGTTGTTCTGGAAATGGCGTCGCCCGTGCCGCTCACCATCACGCTCGACCGACAATGTGTCGGTAATGACATGGACTATGGTCTTCTCTGCACGAGCGGTGTCATCTCAGTCGGCAGCTACACCCGACTGCTGACGCTAATCAGCATCCACGTCAGTGTCGTCATTATCACGGTCGTCGCGAGCCTACTGGGGCGTCGGCGACCGCCAGCGGACGTCGACACGGAGCCGAGTTTGCACTTTTCCAGTGCGACAGCTCTGTTTGCGACGCCAATGGCGGCAGACTTCGACGGCGCCACGTTTGATCTCGTGACGTGCGTCCTCTGCGGCTTGGTGCCAGTGTGGTTCCAGTCCGAGTCGTACGTCTTCAACCTGAAGCTCTGGCACTTTGTGGCCGACTGCACCCAGAAAGCGCGCCATCTCAAGGTCTTTCGTCCGCCATCCATCAACGCCTATACCATGATCCACGTTGCGGGGCCGCGAAAAGAAGAGATCCGTGCAACGCTCAAGAAACCCTCAAAGATTCTTTGGATGACCAAGCAACGCTCCAATCGGCTGGTGGCGTTCTTGGCCTTGGGCCATACAGTATTTGCAGTCGTCAGCAGCGTTTCGTACTTTCAAGTCTCGCAGGTCCACCTCGCCAACGACTACTACTGGGCCAACTTTAACGTCACGGGCGCCCACGCGTTTTTCGCCAACTGGCTAAACGAACAGCTCGTGCTCGGTCTCTCCACAACGGCTCTGGAGCTCGACGCACCCAGTATTACGCTACCGGGAGCTTTTGCAGCCCCCAGCGCCGCGGTCAGCGCCCCCAACAACTACGGCGCGATGCTGCAGCATACCCAGCTCACGACTATCGAGGTTGCCATTGCCGGCCTCCGGGCCTCGGACGCCTGCATGGCTCCCTGGATCTTCTCGCCCTACTGCTTTCTCGATTTTGATCGGACGTTCGAGGTCGCCTACTCGACAGCGCGCCAAGCTCGCTGCCACGCCAGCATGAGAGCCAACGGTGCCGTCTACCTCGAGTCTCTCTTGCGCAATATCGACTTCCGCGACTGGACGGCATGCTGGGGCAGTGCGTTTGAAACCGCGTTCGCTCGGGACCTGCGCGGGTCCGTGGCCGGCCAGAAGTGGCTCGATATGGTATCGGCGAGTCCATTGCCCCTATCAGTTGAAGTCACCTACTGGCGCCAACAGGGAGTCGAGCGCTACGACACGCAGTGGCAAAACTACAAGCGGATCGGCGTCATGAACAGCTACTCGATCACGAATGCCTACGGCGCGTCGCATCCACTCACTCTCATGCAGCTCAATGGCGCCTACCGCGTCGACAGCCAGACAACATACAAGATGTACTGGTCCCTCGCCAACGACTTGAGTGCGATCATGCGCAATAGCAGTGGCATTGGGGGACGCAGTCTCTTGCGGAGCAGCAGTCACTTTGCCTTTCTCAATACGACGCTCCAAGCCGTGTTGATAGCGAACGGGACGCTGACGTCGCCGCTCCAAAACGGACTGGAGGTCGTCTCGCAGCGACTGGGGCCGTTTGGTACCGTCGACATGATCTACATGCGTGTGCCCCCACTGGTTGCCAACGTCACGCATCAGATCTTAGAGCTCATGCGACTGGGCATGGACCACGGCAACGTTGCTGCACAAGCTGCCTTCTCTGCTATGATGCCCTCAGGATCTTGCTTTCCGTACCCATGAAATGGTTGGCTCCAAAGATCGCTTCGTACGGCGGCTCGCTGCTCTGCCCCGAGTTCTCTGCGCCGAAATCGGTCACGAGTGGCTTCTCCAGCATGTTGGCGTTCGATCTCTCATGCATCGCGGCCTCTCCGGTTGTGAGCCGGTCGATCCTGACGTCCCAGAGCTTTATCGCGTCTGCGATCCTCTCGGGGCTCAGTGCGGCGACACCTCCCGTCAACATGTCGCAAGTCTGTGCATATGACCCGACAAGCTTGGCGTCGTGCCTCCTCACGCTCCAGCAGTCCCTTGATTTTATACAAATATACATGCCAGCGTCCCACGCGCTCCCAGTTCCGTCCACGCACGCGCTCGTTCAGGCACTCGACATTGAGTTCATGCTCTACGCCAAGGTCAACGGATCGCTGCAGCTGCTCCACACCAACGTTCTGGACCCAGCCGACCCTGGATTTCACTTTTACGGCTGGACGTACCTCTACGACTGGGTGCTCGGTCGGCGCGAAGTTATTTCGTTCCAAGGCGATGCAAGTCGTCTCAACCTCTTGAGCGACTACCAGCTCCCGCTTGCGCAGCAAGTCCAGGCATCGAACCTCGCCGCCAACCTCGTTTTGTATTTTCGAGCTGGCGTTCAATATGTCACGGTCATGATGCTCCTCGTTTCGGCGGTTGCCGTTGGCTACATGCTCCGGTCGCCCACGTGTTTTCAGGGCAGCAATCTCTTCAAGCTCAACCGCGTCGGCGGTCTTGTCTGGGTCGGCCGACCACTGCTTTTTCTCCGGAGTGCCACGGCCATCTGCCTTCTCTGCACGAGCGGCGTCGACCTGCACTTCTCGGGCTACCTCAGCTACTTTCAGGTCGAGCCCGCGCCGTGGTACAAGGTACTCCTCGCGGCGTGGGAGGTCTCGTGGTTCGTCGCGGTCGTCGACGACATCTTGCTTGTCGCGACGCAAGAGTACGCTTCGTACTTTGTCTTCCCCAACCTACTGGTGGTGTGCGCCGTGGTCGCGATCCTTTCGGGTGTGTCGCCCGTTGCCGTCGCGCTGCACGTCGCACCAAAGTGCGTCTATGCGGAAATGGACTTTAACGTCGTCTGCGAGAGTGCCAACATTGCCATTGGCGACCCAAGCCGCTTTGGGACGCTCCTCCTCATCATGGGCACGAGCCATATCGTGAGCTACTCGCTTGCGAAGCGGATGGTAGGACCTAAGCCGTCGAGCCCCGTGCACTCGCTTTTGCTCTCGCTTGGCGCGCGGTATCATTTCAACCACACGGCTCGCATCGTGCATGGCGTCTACTACCTGGACCGGGCCTCTGCCGCGCTCAACGGCATCCTCACGTACAAGCTCGGGTCGACCATGTTTGCCTTTGACATCAAGCTCTGGCGCTTCTTCGCAGCGCCGATACGCAACGCCGTCGACGTACCGGGGCTCGACCAAGCCACGTTAAATGCGTCGTTTCCGCTTGCAGAGTAGATAGAATTCGCTCCGTTTACGGTCTTGAAGGGACTCACTCGAAAAATTTATCGTGCCGCCTCGACGTAAAATGTAAAACTTCAAGTACCCCACTTTGCATATGTATGTGTTTGCTTTGTTCCGCACGAGAGCTGTCATTGGTTTAGTGTATTAAATACCGAATTGTGACGCTGCCACGCCATATATATCAAGTTGATACGCACACCGAACATCCAATCAAAAGATTTGACGTTTCATTATTGACCAATCCCAGCACGTTACAACGTCGTCCACGGCTCATTGCCCACCACTCCATCGGGGAGTGGCAGCGCGTCTCGCAGATCCCCGTCGTCTGGCACGGGCGCAGCAAGGATCCGCCACAGCTTGATGTCGAATGCATACAGGACGTTCTGGTGGCGGTACGTGAGGACACCATTGAGCGCCGCGGACGCCCGGTCCAGGTAGTAGACACCGTGTACGACGCAGCGACTGTGGTTGTACAAGTACTTGGCGCCAGCCGACAAGAGGCGCGACGTCACCATCGTCGGTCGCAACGGTCCAATCACAAGACGCGCCAGAATGTACCCGAGCAGATGCGACAGGATCGTGCAGACCACGATACCGACAAGTCGACGCACGTGTCCAATCATCGAGTCGGCGGATGTGCAGAGTAATTGCATGTCCATTTCGACCACGTGGCACTGCTTCTGAACAACCAAACTCGGCGCGACCGGAATAAAGTATGAGTAGAACACTGCGCCGCAGCAGACGACCACCGAGTGGATCGAGAGGTACCACCGCGCGTGTTCGCGTGTCACGACAAGCCCCATGTCGTCGACGACGACAACGAGCCACGCGACTTCCCAGGACGCCAGTAGCGTCTTGTAAAACGGCAACGGCGTTCGGTCAAAGTAGCTGACGAAACCCGACGTGCCGAGGTCCAGGCTGGCCGTGGAGAGGAGGCAGAGCGCGGTGAGACTCCGAAGAAACAAGACGGGACGACCGACCCACACAATGCCGCCGATGCGATCCAACTTGAGCAGATTTTGGCCCTCAAAATGGCCGCGGGTCGTGAGCATGTACCCCGTCGCGACGATCGCGACACCGAGCATAACGCACGTGACATAGTAGACACATGCGCGCGAGTACTGGGCAAAGTCGCCAGTGACCTGCCACGCCGGCACCTGCTGCCGCAGCGGCAGTGTGGCGTCCGTGAGAAGCGTTAGCGACGACGCGCTCGCGTCACCTCGAAACGAAATCACTTCACGGTGCCCGAGCACCCAGTCAAAGAGATACGTCCACCCGAAAAACGCAAAGGCGTCATCGGTGAGGACAGGTGCTTGTAAGAGCTGCAAGACGTTGTTGGCCGGCTTGGCGTATACCATCAAGCTAATGTTCATGCTCACCACGTGCAAATGAACGGTCTGCGCCTCTTTCAAGAACGCCGTCGTCTCGTTAAGAGGCGCGAGCGAGAGCATGTAGTCGTTGACAAAGCGCACGGTCGCCAAGAGGTACGCGGGACAGATGCCGGCGTTGGCAACGTCATAGCGGCAGATCGCAGACGTATTGATGCGACCAATGTCCTGGAGCGCCAGCCCCGAGAGAAGGCTGGCCACGACGTACATCATGCGCGTTGGCACCACCTTGCTTTGCATGGGGGAACTGTCGATGCAGGCGAGGTCAAAGCCGATAATGTTGGCAAGGCCGGTCGAGACCCGTTTTGGCGCCGACAGCTCGGGGCAGAGCGGTGAGCTCCCATACGCTGCGACGTTCGGGTCGAGCCAGACGCTAGGGATCGGGTACGAGATGGCCACGGGAGAGATGCCAAAGTAAGCTGCTTGGGCACCGGCGTTGGTATGGCCGAGTACGTGCCGTAGGCGCTGAATCGCGTCGGCGACAAACCGCAGCACCAACGGCGGCACGCTGATGTAGATCATATCAACGGTACCAAACGGCCCCAGTCGCTGCGAGACGACCTCCAGTCCGTTTTGGAGCGGCGACGTCAGCGTCCCGTTCGCTATCAACACGGCTTGGAGTGTCGTATTGAGAAAGGCAAACTGACTGCTGCTCCGCAAGAGACTGCGTCCTCCAATGCCACTGCTATTGCGCATGATCGCACTCAAGTCGTTGGCGAGGGACCAGTACATCTTGTATGTTGTCTGGCGGTCGACGCGGTAGGTACCGTTGAGCGCCATGAGCGTCAAATCGTTCGACACGCCGTAGGCATTCGTGATCGAGTAGCTGTTCATGACGCCGATCCGCTTGTAGTTTTGCCACTGCGTGTCGTAGCGCTCGACTCCGTGTTGGCGCCAGTAGGCGACTTCAACTGATAGGGGCAATGGACTCGCCGATACCATATCGAGCCACTTCTGGCCGGCCACGGACCCGCGCAGGTCCCGAGCGAACGCGGTTTCAAACGCACTGCCCCAGCATGCCGTCCAGTCGCGGAAGTCGATATTGCGCAAGAGAGACTCGAGGTAGACGGCACCGTTGGCTCGCATGCTGGCGTGGCAGCGAGCTTGGCGCGCTGCCGAGTAGGCGACCTCGAACGTCCGATCAAAATCGAGAAAGCAGTAGGGCGAGAAGATCCAGGGGGCCATGCAGGCGTCCGAGGCCCGGAGGCCGGCAATGGCCTCTTCGATCGTGTCGAGTTCTGCGTGCTGCAGCATCGCGCCATAGTTGGTCGGGGCCAAGACATACGCCGTCTCGGCTGCAAACGAAGCCTCTTGCAGCACGCTCGGTGCTTCCAGCAGCGGTGATGCGCTTTGCAGACCGAGCACGAGCTGTTCGTTGAGCCAGGTCGCGAAAAACGCGTGGGCGCCCGTGACGTTAAAGTTGGCCCAGTAGTAGTCGTTGGCGAGATTGACCTGCGAGACTTCAAAGTATGAGACGCTGCTGACTACGGCAATTACCATGTTGGCCAGAGCAACCAGTGTCATGAAGCGTCGACTGCGATTCCGGATGCTCGCAACGACGCTGGACCACGTCCAGTGCAGTCTTGGCCCACGCACCACCATAGTGGCGTCGCGAGCAACTTTCGGATGCAGCCCGATGCGGCGAGACACGGAGAACCGATTGTCGTAAAGTCCCCAGAGCGTCACGTCAAACACGCGCTGGGACGAGAGAGGCACGAGGCCGCAGAGCAAGCACGTCGGTAGATCAAAGCGGGTCGTCTTCGCCAGCGGGCGCATCAAGACGTCGGGCATCCCGACAAGGCGAACGATGCGATGCATGTCGAGCGACGGCCGTCGCCACGCCAGAGTCAGCACCAACGCCATCGCAAGCGAGACCGCTTGCGCGCCAAGAAGCAGCAACGTACGGTCGTAGCTGCCTACATGGAGCACGCCCGAGGTGCAGACGAGGCCGTAGTCCATGTCGTCGGGCGAGCAGCGCCGGTCGAGGCGTAGGTCCATGGCCACGGGCACCAATACCGTCAATACAAGTGTAAAGAGCCAGCTACTGCACGCACTGAGCGCACCGGCCAAAGGCGCGGCCTCGCGCGCGACAACAACAGCAACGTCGACAAGTACATACGACACCCACGTGGCTTCGCCGGCGAGAAGCGAAGTGTCGAAGATTGACCGTGGCGATGCCTTAAGGCGCGTGGTCATATGGGTTGCTTCGGTCACGAGGTGCAATTGGGCGGTCGCGAGCAGTAGAATTGCGCTCACGCCTCGAATCAGCGCGAGCGGGCGGCCCATCCAGACGGCACCGACAACGCGGTTCAAGTACAAGAGGTTGCGCCCGACAATTCGTCCCTTGGCAAGACTCACACCGACGAGGGCGGCCGCGCCAGCGAGAAGCAGCATCATGGACGAGATACCCACCATGGTAAGCACGAGCTGCGTCGCCGATTGGAGGCTCGCATCGCTGGCAATGTAGGCTTGGGTGGGATAGGCATTCGAGAGAAGCACCAAGGTCGAGACGTCGCCAGCAAACGCGACAACCTCGCGCTGACCGAGGGCCCACTCAAAGAGGAAGCACCAGCCCGCCGCGTGCCAATGCGGGTCGGTCGTCGGGTCGCCCAGCAATGGCTGGAGCAAGAGGTCCATGTTGTGGCCACTGCTCGCCGCGTACTGCATGAGCGAGACGTTGAGCGTATGCACCGCCAACGGAACCGCGGCTACCATCGCGGCAAGGTCCTCGGGCACGGTCATCGTCGGCCAATGGGTCGGAAGCCACGGAGGCGCTGTGGTTGCATTCGTGGCCAAGGTCGCCCACAGGAGCGCGCTGGGTGACGGCGAGAGCGTCAGCGGCACGGCGCTCGTGCAAGCGTCGTAAAAGTCGAACGACTGCTGCACAAACGACGTGGCCGTGCCCGACGTGCACATGGGATCGCCGCCAAAGTACGCAGACCGGTTGCGCCAACCGGCTGGTATCGGTGCGACCACCGGTGTGGTGCTGTCATAGAACGCGGCGCGGAGCCGATGGGAGGCTTGGAGCTCTGTGTGTAGGAGGTCGATAAAGCGGTTGTACGCGTCGCACAGCACTCGTGGTGGTGACACGTAGAGGCAGTCGACCGAGAGGAACGGTCCGATCGACTCGTGGAAGCGGTGCGCGACGCCCGAGCCGACGTTGATGCCGCGGTAGCCCTCCAAGTTCACGGCCGGCAGGCCCGACGTGTTGGCGCCAAAGTACCGGCTCGTGCCGCGCACCAAGCTGCGGTTCATGACCATGGCGCTAAAGAGGTCCTGGATCGGGATCCAAAACATCGTCTGGGAGGACCACGGCCCCGTGATCTGGTCGAGCGCCTTGAGTGTGATTTGCTGCGTCATCCCAAACGCGTTTTGAAGCAATAGAGTCTCGGCGACACCGGCGCCCCACCGGTTTTGCCACTGCAGCGTATAATGCGATACGTCGAACGATTGCCAGTAGGCGACTTCAGCGTCCACCGACGTTCTCGTCTTCGCACTCGCCATGTCCGATAAGAGCATGCGGCCGTGGCTGGTTTCTTGGAGCCCGCGCTCGATGGCCACGTTGAAGCGAATGCCGTTGCCGCCCCATGTGGCCTGCATCGCGGACCAGTCTTGGTTGCGCAGCATCGTCTCGAGGTAGACGGCCGCGTTGGTCGAGTAGATGCGCGCGCAGCGGCCTTGACGCGCGACCGTGTGGGCCAATTCGAACGTCTTGTTCAAGTCGACCCAGCAGTACTGCACGTTCATGCGAAAGGCCCAGTAGGCCGAGAGCGCACGGAGCTCTTGCACGACGAGATGGAACGACGTCTGTGGCGTTAAAAGCTGCTCGTGTATGTACGGGAGGTAGAACGATGCGTGGTTGGCCCCCACGTCGTAGCGCTTGGGGACAAGAGCGATCGGCGCAAGCACGTCAAAGGTGCCGTTGGCTTGTGTCTGTAGGATTTGGTTGACGACATCGACGAGAAAGGCTTGGTGCACCGAGAGGTTGTACCCGGGCCACCAGAGATCGTTGGCGAAGCTCGGCGTCAGGAGTCGAAGATACCAGACGCCGCCAAGAAGCGTGCACATGACGTAGACGACGCCCACGGCCGTCTCGGCCGACGACCACATCCGCAATACTAGCAAGGGCGCGAAACTGAAACTGAATTACGTGAATCGGTTTCGCCGCATGAATCGGCGGGCTAGCCTCAATTTGTCGACGCGGCAACACCCGCGACAACTGCAGTAGTCCTGAGTCGCCATCGACGAGCTTCCAGACGACCTTCATTAAACACGCACATACTACTAGGTAAATGTTGATACTCGCGTTCAGTGAGCCAACAGTGTTGCAAGGTCGGGATGTTGGAGGAACCGACCTTCTAGCGTGCGTAGCCGCGTTGTTTGTGTATCGTAGATGAGTATACCCTTGGGTCGCTGTACTCGACTAGAAAAACGAGCAAGCAAGCGGAGCTCGTACGCGGATCGCCATGAAGCAGCGGTTTTGATCCGTTGGCCCTATTTTTACGAGACGACATTTTTGAGTTTCATTGGAGCGACATGGGCGACGTGGAAGACTCGGCGGTCGCGGACTTTCTCCAGATCCTCGAGGAGCACCGCAAGAACTGCGAGAAGCAGGGCAAGTACGTCGAGGCCGAGATCGCCAAGAACCGCCTCGAAGAGCTCAAGGTGCACGAGGAGAACCGGCGCAAGGAGGCGATGCGGTCGCGCCAGATCGCCGAGCGGCTCGGCGTCGAAGAGGCCCACATGCTCGAGTTTCAGCAGTTCAACGTCGTGTGGGACAAGAAAATGGAGGACTACGAGCACAACATTGAAGAACTCGTGCTCGCGTACCACTAATATTGATGCATCCATCCCATCGAAATGGCCTCATCTCTGGTCTGCGTAGGAACGACACAAGGGCGAGCTCCTCGACTTTCAGCAAAAGTTGCTCGAGAAGCAGACCAAACCCAAGTTTTCCAAGGAGCTCTTAAACTTGCGCAAGATCGAAGAGCACCTCGCGCGCCAAAAAGAGTACGCAAGCACATCCTATCGGAACGCTAAGATCTGCGTCCAGCTACGCCGAGGCGCACAAGATGAAGCTCAAGGCGGACGCGCTCGAGGCGTGGGAAATGGAGAAATGGCGCAACTCGAAGCAGCAAGAAATGTTTCAGCGCGAAGTCAAGTTCAAGCAGCGCCAGCGCCAAGAGCTCGACGCGCTCCAGAAGCGCATCCAGAGCGGCCGCGAAGAGCAAAAGAAGCAGCGTCAATTGGACCTCGAGCGCCTCCTCCAGCGCTACCAGAACGTCAAGGCCGAGCTGCAGCAGCAGCAAAACCTCGAGCGCATCCGCGTCGAAAAGTTCTCGCTGAACGCATCGCAGCGCGTCTCGATGAAGGTTTGAGGTTAAGAAACATGAGTGCATGTATTGCTTGTACTTAGTCGCGGCGGACGCTCTTGAAGGCCTTCTTGTTCTGCAGAAACATGTACACGAGCGGAAGCACGACGCCAATGGCCATGATGAAGAGGCCGCACCAGTACGAGGCAGAGAGGTAGCTGACGGTCATGGCGCCCGGCGGCGGCGTCTCGGCGGGGCGGCTAGCGTCCATCCTGGTGTCTTGACAGAACCCTTCGCAAAAGTTGTGGGCCCTTCATGAAACTATCGACCTTTCGATACCGTTGCGATCGCATTCTACCTGAAGGGTCGTAATTAGTGTATGCTTGCGTGCTCGCTATCGACTTTTGAAAACTATGCCAAGGCACTTGACAACACCATTTGCATGTGCCGATCGCAATGTATTCGAAGGGCAATGTGGCGGGCATTGAAATCGTCCGGTTATACCTATACGTTGTATATAATATAAATATTCCATATAGTGTTGCGAGCGGCCTGTCTACCTCACCATCCACGCATCTTCATCATCATGGCGTCGGCGCTCAAGTCCAACTGGAAGCGCAATTTGCTGCTCTTCAACGGCGTCGCCCTCGGCGTGCCGGGCGCGACGGCTGCCTACTTTGTCTACAACCTCCGGCGCGACGTCGAGTTCCGCGAGCACTTTCAGGACAAGTACCCGGACCTCCTCGATGCGATCCATGAGTACGTGCCCATCTACCCGGCGCCCGAGACGCGCACCGACATTGGCGACGCCGACCCGACGATGGACTCGGCCTCAGCTGACAAGACGCCAGTGAAGGCCGTCGTGCGCCTCGCCTCTGGCAAGACGGTCGCTTTCGAGGTATCGCCGGACGTGACGATGGCGGCTGTCCACGAGCAGGCGCTGGCCGGCCACGCCCACGACCGCGTCGCCGCCGTCGACTTTGTCGATGTCCAGGAACCCGTCGTGACGGCCGCGCCCTCGACGCCGGGTACGTTTCGTATGGTGCTGCTGCCAGGACGCTAACATGACAGGTGCAGCTGCGTCGCAACCCAAGCTCCGTCCGGGCGAGCCCGTGCCGCAGTCGACGTGGCCGTCCCAGTATACGCCTCGGAGCGCCCGCGCGTCGATGCAGACGGCTGCGCTTCAGATCGAGCTCGACCAGCTGCGCCTGAAGCAGCAAGCGCTGCAGCTCGAGAAGCGCCAAGGCTTCCGCGAGATTGACGCGATTGACGCCGACCTCGCGCGCGTCGAAGATCAGAAAAAGGTGCTCAAGGCGCAGCTGCCGCGGAAGAAATGGCTTCGCCTCTTTTAGCTTAGCACTTGACCAGCAATCAAGAGGTTTCTCGGTTTCCCGACCCTCCGCGATCTTGGGTACTCCCTCCTGTAGCATGCATTCCACACATCCACAGAATGGTCTGTCGTCGACGTCAACGACGTGAAGAATGACGGTGTGGGACAGCGAATTTATGGCGCACGCGTTCTCATCTGTTCAACAGGCGCGCTGGTCCGCGACACCGCTCGGCAAATAATTGCAGTGTCGTAGCTACTAGCAGTATGGATATGCGTGAACATCATTTTGTATCGTGTTTATTCGTTGAAAGGGAAAAAGAGGGAGAAGAGGAGGACCGAGAGTTGGACGAGATGATGTCGCCACTCTGTCTGCTGCTTGGCGACGCGACGTGTCGCAGAGCCTTTCCAGTCGGCTACTCACTGGTTGTGCATGGGCCGATCACCGAACGCCGCTACTTCAAGCGTTCATTTCTGCGCAGGCCCACGCTCTGATTCCTTTCGTCCTCCTCCTATAGCATGCCACGCGCTTCTTCGTGTTCACCACCCATGATTCGTTCACACCAACGTCCGCACTTCGACGGGCGACGGAGATGGTAGGGCATGCGTCCTCAACGCCAACGTTGGGGCATCTCGTCCGTGACTTGGATGCGACGTCGGCGTCCAGAGGTTCATGCACACGCGAGCATGGTACGGCGAAGCGGACAAAGAAGATGGGAACGAGTAGCGAGGAAAGGCGACGGTGCACGTTGCCCAACAATAATCCCATGCCCATGAGATTTTTTCGATTCGAAGCGGGTGTGGTCAGTGCCAGCGAATCTGGTTCACGATTGCGCCTGGCGCGGATCCTGCAAGCGTCGCGTCACATACCAATGGCTGTGATAGATACCAGCGGGTGAGCAAGAGACACTCACCTTGTTCAGCTGGTGAACGACCCATCTGCACCGACATACCACAAACACAGATGGCGTGAGTACCCAGCCGCCGCCTTGATGAGATCCTGCCACGTGGCCGCGAACCGCTCGTGTTCTTTCTGCCACTTTGCGGAGGAATGAGGCTGGCGTGCTGTTGCTACACCTACTACAGACGATGCACTTCCTATCCAATGCCCTCCGTATTCTCACTGGTAAGGGCTGATCAGCCAAGCCAGCAGCGTCACCATCAACCAAGCGTTAGGTACTATCGCACACTTGTGTAATGGCGTTGGTTCATCCCAACCTCGACACGAATCGAAGGCTCTGTCCAAGTAGCTTGTCCGAGGCCGTTCGACTTTGCTCGCCGAGACTTGGTCGTCGCTGTGTGTCGCTACATCTCATCCAGCTTCCACACGTGGTTCAAAAGTCGGACTCAAAATTTAAAAGTTCGATCGACGCAGCTCGTCGTCTGAGCAGCGCTGGTCGAGCAAACGAGTCGCCTGTACGACTCCTACATGTAGTACCAAACGAGCGTGGCGTCGTCGTGGGCGTACACACGCCGTGACACAGCAGAGAGATCCTGTTGGTAAAAAAACGGCCTGGGTCTGGTATCGTAGAAGCGAGGATCGGGACGATGAGGACTGAAATGAGAGAAATGAGTGTGACCCAGCCGACACATAAAAGAGGCATCGCGAGTGGCCGAGTAGCCAGATTAGAGTGGGATGCGAAAACCAGATCATCTGAAATCGTTGACAGCACGCAGCCGTTCCGAACCCAGCGCCTATGGTGGCGGTGTGGTGACACGACCTCATTTACCAATTCGCATCCACACACACAAATGGCTACCGTCATGAGCAGCATCTCGCACCGCTTCGGCCCGAGCGCCAAGAAGGACCGCAAGAGCCACCGCTTCGCGCCCTACTCGGCCAAGCGCCCGGCCCTCCCCGAGTACGAGTCGTACCTCGAGGCCATGGACTCGGCCGATGAGTTCTGCGCCGAGACCGACGTCGAGACGCCGTTCAGCGCAGTCGTTGAAGATGACTTTGTCCGCCTCTCGATCGAAGAAGAGCTCGAGATGGACCCGTCCCTCGACATGGAGTGGAGCTCCGAAGACCTCTCGATCCTCCTCGCGCTCTTCGCCAAGGACATGAAGGTCTAAGAGACGACGAGAAGCAACTTTTAGCGTAGGCCCCTTAATTTAAATCAAAGTTATACTAGTTTCAAGGCTCACACCACCACACAATGCATGTACAAGCACGCAAAACCAGCAACCAAGGAGCGTTCCTGTAGAGATGGCCTCCTGGTCCGGGCGTGAAAGAGTAGCGAACCGCGCAACAACATCATGTTGGAAGCCAACGTGGCTGGTTCCGTGGGTTGCGCGAACGGCCGAGGCTTGAGAAACCATCCATATCTGCAGCTCCTACATCTCCCACGACCGCCTCCTTCTGTCCAACGCTACGACGGTACCTATCCTACGGTTGTGCTGGCGTCGACGAGGAAACGAAGAAGAAGCCTGTCGGACCCTTCGATTATATTATTTCACTGTGACAAGGCGCCACACGATTCAAGGCCACAGCTTCAAGTGCCCATCCCACGGCCGGTTTGTCTGCCGAGTATCTGGGTGACACCGTTGGCTAAGAGAACCAGATGGTACTCACCCGAATCTAGACGAGTTCAGATCCGATGCTTTTCATCCATTGCATCAACCACAGCCATCGCATACGACGTTGCAGTGTACAGCACACACTCGTCGTGTCAAGATCATCTATTACACAGGTGGGTGCATTCCGTCTCGGCCATCATCGAATATCTCGCGCGTCGAGGCTCTGACCACAGTAGAATCTCGTTCAACGTGCTTTCGAAGACGAACCCATGAGCAAGATTTTATGTGTGGCGCCAATGGTACATGCGCATCCTCCTACTTCCTCCTATATTGCCATCTTCCAATCGTCTTCCCTCGAGAGTGGTCGTGTATGGGCATGCGACCGATAAGATGTACAGCCGATGGAGAAGCCACCTCTCCTCTGCCAAGGTGTCGGCGCCATTGCTAATCGTATCGCGCACGGTTTGGAAAGGTGTCTCGACTCGCCAAGCTGGCTCACACGATCCCGTCTTTTCCGCAACGTCCGTCTGGTTCACTCGATGAGCGTCCGTGCATCTCTCGATCGAACGTACACCTATAAGATCTGTGTACATGTGCAGGGCTGTGTGCAGGGTGTAATTGCGCAGGCCTTGTCGCTCCCGCTGCAGCGGCTTTATTCACGCACCCACAACGCCACACTCACCGGCATGTTACTGCGCCTTCCCACCCAGCGTCGTGCCACGTCATGCCACAAGATCCGCCCATCAAGTGATATGTATACCCTACTGAAACCGTGTCTATTTATTAGCCAATCCAACGTCGTGCGACCACGCCAAGCCAATCACGTGTCGCGCCGACAGTAGCGGTAACGACGTACTGGCCGACCAGGTTAGTCCGCATTGCAACCGTGTCATCGACATCGCGTCTATGGAGGAGACCTTTGAGGGCGACGGTACCTCGTACGTCCTGAGCGCGCCGCGCCACGGCAACTGCAACCTCATGTGGACGCCGCCGCTTGCGTCGACCAACTATGCGGCTCTCAACGCCCCGCAGTGGGCCAACCTCGCCCATTGCGGCCGCTGCGCGCGCGTGCGATGCGTCGATGCCCGGTGCAATTCGACCGCGACTGCGCTCGTCATGCTTGTGGATCAATGCCCCGAATGCAAGCACGGCGATCTCGACTTGAGCCCCAAGGTGTTTCGGGAGATTACGGGCCACGACGCGACGCGGCTTAAAGTCGCATGGTCATTTGCGCGTTGTCCGATCCAGGACGAGCATGCCCACGTGTGCCTCAAGAACGGCGCGAATCCGTTCTGGATGGCAGTGCAGCCCGTCAATGTCGCCACGGGCGTTCAGCGCGTCCGCATCAACGGCTTTGCCACCGAGATGCTCGACAGCTGCTACTACTTCAAAGCCAATGCCGGGAGCGCGCAAATCCCACTAGAGAACATGGACGTCGAGCTCACCTTTCTGAACGGATCGTCCCAGCACATCCTCATTCCATCCATCAACGCATCGTCGTGTACGAACGGGTACCATGAAGTCGACGACCCGCCACTTCCGAACGTCCAGATGTCGCCAGGTGGCAGTGCGTCGTCCAGTGTCCTGATGCCGGCTTTGCTTGTCGCTGCCGTGCTTGGTGGTGGTCTGGCCGCCCTCTATGTCGCGCGCCGGCGACGCCTCGCCCAGCAGCAGCAGCAGGCGTCGTTCCGGCTCGTGCTGCCCATCGAAGACGAAGAGGCCGTGCTCTAGTCCTTTCGTCGTCGTTGCATGTGCTCTATGTAATGCTCCAGTAAACAGTCATCATCGTCGCGCCGCCAATGCAGTGCAGGACTCATCTACTGGGTGGTGTGCTGGCGGCAGAGGCGCCACCGCACTATTCTCCCGCCTTGCGCTGGATGGGGACGTACGACGACGCGATGTGAGCTGTGTAATGCTGGCCTCCTCTCTCCATGGGGATCCTGTGCGCTGGTGTTCCGGTACTAGAAAGGCGCGCCAAGGGTCAAGTACAGAAACAGGAGACAACCTGGTGGTATAATTGCTTAGACGAGATCGAGGTCCTTGGCCGTCAACGAGTCGGCAAAGGTTGCTCTCGACTGCGAGAAGCTCCACGAGAAGAGGAGCTCGTCGTCGCCTTCATTGCGAATCTCGTGCGACTGGCCGCGACGAATGAACACGAGATCGCCGCAGGTCGCGCGCGCCTCTTCGCCGTTGATGTTGATGATGGCCGTGCCCCGGAGTACGACGATGACCTCGTCCTTGTCGTCGTGGAAGTGGAGTGGGACGCGACTGCGGCTCGGGACCGTCTCGAGGCCCATGTCAAAGCCGGCTTCGGTCACGAGCGGGAACACGACGCGCGGGCAGCCGCGCTTGGCGCCCAGCGCCAGCGGCTCGCTGCAGGTTGAAGTGTTGCGCAGCATTAAAATCTATTGACGCACAACGGCAGCTGCCAGAAAAAGGCCTCGCCACATGGCAGAAGGCGCTCCTTCAACGTGCTCTAGCGTGGGACGGCAAGAAGAAGCGAACTGTAGGAAGAGTCTCGGCGACCAATGCTTCCTGGTTCGGTTGGAGGTCTGGGCGGCCAGAAATTTGGCCGACCGACAACGACGTGCCACTCAACTTGCAGTCCAACTCTGCCCCACGTCCAAGGCTTCTCACTTGCTTGCATGCTGCTGCTTGGTCTCCTCCCATGCGTACAGTGTATTCTTAGTATCTGACCCTTCTCTCAACTGCCTGTCATGTCGTCCAGCGTCATGCATGTACTAGACCTTGGCATGGGTGGCGCGACAAGGAGAAAGAGAGGAGGTCGGGAGGTATAAATATAATACGAACGCAGAGCATTACATGCGGTAGAGCTCGTGGCGAAGCTCGGCGAGCGCCACGAGCAGCGTGTGCTACTCCAAAGCCTCTGTCGCAATAATCTCTTGGCATCTCGTCGTACCTTGAGGCCAGCGCTCACGTCCGGCGGCAGGTCGTCCTCGGTCAGAAACGCGATGCTGCCCAGCGTCGTGAACCCGCGCTGCTCGAGGCGCCGGCCAAACGCCACGAGCTCCGGGCTGCGCACGCTCATCCAGTGGACCACCTCGCCTTGCTCGTACACTACATACGTGCCCGCTTGAGCCAACCCCACCGCTCGAGACGTACCCGCGTTGACGACCTTGGCCTGCTCCTTGGCGGCGTCAATGCGCATGCGGATCTTATTGGGGCTCATGCTCAGCGGCGCCGGCGTCACGGCGGCCTCGCGGTCCTCATCAAGCTCGAGCGGCGTCGTGAAGCTCGGCATCTCGTCGGCGGAATTCAGAAACGCCATCTCCGAGGAACCGGCGGCTTCTAGCGGTTGAAACCGTCTCGTAACGGTTGCAATCGCCTTTTTTTCCTGTGCCATCTTGGAAGGGGTGTGCCAAGAGGGCAGCAGTACCGTACTGCTTACAGACCGGGGCTACTCACGTCCGAGAGACTGGTCGCTCGAACGCCGAGTAGCTCTGACGATCGGCTCTGCCATCACGCGGGCATGTACCACCGGCGAGATACCGCGCGTCATGGGGTCTTGAAGGAGGAGGAGGCGAGGATGGGATCTTTCATGTCGTTCCTTGTACTAGGAAGGCGCCAACGACTATCATATCTGATTCGCGACCGAGAACGAGAAAGCGTACTACGTGGGCGAGTCACGCCAAGAGGTAAAACTCTATTGTCGTCCACGATAAAATAGCGCGATTTAAATGTCGTCAAACTCAAAGCCGCAGTCGTCGTCGTCGCCGCCGCCTTCCATGTCGACGTTGGTCTCGTTAATACGCGCGTTGTCCGGGAGTTCGCCGTACGCCTTCAAGCTGCGCGCTTCGTCGGCGTTGTACTTGTGGATGACATCGACCTTGCCGTCCTGGTACTCGCGCAGACTCACGAGCACAATGTCGCCGGCGCCGACCCACACCTTCTTGCGCATCTTGCCGCGGATGTGGCCGAGGCGCGTGACGCCGTCGTAGCAGTAGGCTTCGAGGCGGCCGTTGCCGAGCATGCGCAGCACCTGGGCGTACTCTACAAGGTACCGTTAGCCTCGGCGCGAGATGGCGAGAAGCATGCGCATGCACGCACCCTGGCCATCTTCCTTGAACTCGAGCTCGCGCTTGTTCTCTTCGCCATCGCCCTTGCCGCGGCGACGGTTCTTGCCGCCCTTGCCCTTGTTCTTGCTTGCCGAGGACATGATCTCCGAGAATGGAGGACCACCACCACCAACTCGGCCTATTTCCAGATCCGACGCCGATTGGCCAAAATGACATGCCGCCACTTGATTGGCTATATTCTTGGTCGGCGCGCGGATTGGACAAAATACGGCATACAAACCCCAAGTGCGCGTAGACTGGCGCTGCGACGTGGCCATCTCTTTTTATTGGACTGCATTCTTTTCTTAAAGACGCACAAGCATTGACGCATTTGTATATAGAATAGATTTACTGTCAAATTAATATGCAGAAAAAACACCCAACCGAATGGACCAATGAATGGTCGCGTGTCAAACCTGCCACGTTGCCGCCAAGAAGATCGCCACACTGATGCAAGGTGGCGTGCACTGCGCGAACGAGCCCGTATCTCGGCTAATTCAACCCAACGCCCAGCAGCACATTCCCTTTGCTTATCGATGAGGAGCCAGCATAGGGCTGTTGCGACGTTCGAGGTGCGTTGGCAGCCTTCATGTGGGCCTCGGTGGGGAAATCGAGCTTGAAGCGATGCGGTGAGCTAAGACGCCACAGACCAAGTGCTAAGGTGGAGCTAAGGTGCCAACGTGGAAGAGCATGACTGAGAGTTGAGTCAGCGTGGTTGTGTCCGAGCCAGATGATAGAGTACCAGATCGGTCAGAAGGCCGCAACGAGCGGCTTGTGATCCGAGTAGTACGTACAAACAAGCCGCATCTGCAAGCAGAGGTATCGGTGTTGGTACGCCAGAGCACTTGAACGTGAGAGATGGTCGTGTGCACTCCATCGCAAAGGAGACAGCGCGTGTATCGTGGTCAAGGAAGTAGAAGCTGGAACCGACCAGGACGGCTTTCAAGGCGACAAGCGTCAGAAGGATGTGAGCGGGGCAAGAGAAACGGACACAGAGAGGCTCCCGGCTTTTCCAGAACTCACACTGCTTTCGTGGGCCATTGGACCTTCCTCATGACGACTCGGCAACCAAGGGGAAACGTCAAGCTCTGTCCCCTTGTCGACAAAGGGCGTGGCTATTGTAGTGTTACACCTGCTTGCGACTGCTCCGTGCATTATATTTTTTGACCGATCGCCTCCAAAGCTGGCCTCATAGCATTACATAAAAGCTCAAGGCAACCAAACGCACCCCCGTAGCTCACCCCAGTATCAGCGAGTGTATCGGTATCAGCCTGATTTAGGCTCAGAGAGTATGTTCGGCGAGTCGTCAGCCGATGATAGCGAGGCGATGTCGAGCTCACTTTCCATCTTGCCTTCCTTCGCAAATACACCACCCAAGCATGTTTGGCTTCACCAAGTTGATCACGTTCTTCGCGACCGCCGCCGCCGCGCAGCAGTGCGTCCAGCAGGCGTCGATCGAGATCGGCAAGGAGACGCCGCTCAGCTTGACCTTCAACGGCGACAAGGCGTTCAGCCACACGATCAAGCAGGTCGGCGCGACGTACACGGCCGTGCACTTTGACGCGCTCAACATCCCGGCTGGCGCGACCCTTACGATTTCGAGCCTCGACGGCAAGGAGTCGGTCAAGTACGTCGGCGGCGAGTCGCGTACCAACCTTTTCGCCGACTGGATCTCGGGCTCGGAGGCCGTCTTGACCTACGAAGCGGCTACGTACACCAAGCAGCCGACGCCGGTCTTCACGATCGACAAGGTGACGTTCGGCAAGATTACGCCGCCGCTCGAGTCGATCTGCGGCAATGACGACTCGAAGCCGACCAAGTGCTATACGGCGGACGCGGCCAAGCAAACGTCGGCGCTCTCGGTGGCCCGCCTCCTCATCAACGGCAAGTCGCTCTGCACGGGCTGGCTCATCGGCTCGGAGGGCCATTTGATGACCAACAACCACTGCATCAAGACGGCCGACGACGCCAAGAACGTCCAGGTCGAGTTTGGTGCTGTCTGCGCGACGTGCGAGGACCCGAACAACACCAAGCAGCTCGGTTGCAAGGGCGAGATCGTCGCCACCGACGCGGTCCACCTCATCTCCAACCCGGAGAACGACTTTGCGCTTATCAAGCTCAACGTCAAGGCCGGCGTCGACATCAAGAAGTACGGCTACCTCCAGGTCCGCCCGGATGGCCCCAAGCTCAACGAGGAGATCCACATCATCGGCAACCCCCGCGGCTTCCCGCAGTACGCGGCCATTGTCGTTGACGATGGCAAGCCGGGTGTCGTCACCAACTTGAGCATCGAGTCGTGCGTCCCGGATGAGTTTGGCTACATGCTCGACACACAGGGCGGTAACTCGGGGTCGCCCGTCTTCTCGACCAAGGAGAACGTCGTCGTCGGTCTCCACAACTGCGGCGGCTGCGAGAACGGCGGCATCAAGATCAACAAGGTTGTCGACATCCTCAAGGCCAAGAACTTGGTCCCGAAGGACGCCATTGTCAACACCAAGCCGGCGTGCTAAGCTGTCGACGCTAGTGGCGCTTTCTAAATGTCATAATGTTGAGTTGCTTTGGTAAAATTGCACATCTATCCTCCTACATCCTCAACCAAAGTGTTCCACTGGTGCCGAGATCTTGTGGAGCTTCTTGGGCGACTAACAAGAAAGCGCAACCGGTTCCTGCGACGCTCAGTATGTGAGCGGTGCTCCGGCAGCACAACTGTTTTTAGCTGCATCTTAAAAATTGCATGGGAGCAAGGCGATACCGCGATCGTCCATGTTTGGCCTTCGTCAAAGCACTCTAAGTTCTGTGCTGTGGTGCAGATACTACCATTATCGACAGGTGTTGCTGCTGAAACGTGTTATGAGCATGCAATCAAAGTGGACTTCCTCATGCACTCATGAGGGTGCGGCAAGTCCCTTGACAGGCGTCATGGCTGTTTCGAGGTGTTTGACGTCGAGGTCAACACTAGCCTTATAGAATATCGTTGCAGGACGCAGGGTGTTCGTCGTGTGGAGAGACACATTGCTTCGGCATTCAGCAGCAAAGGTTAGAGGCGCAACAACTTGGTCAAAAATCACCAGTGTTCTTGCCGCATTTCTGGAACAGCAGTGTTTAGACGCATACCGCGACCACCACCACGGGCAGTATTGCCTCCACATGTAATACCCTTTTGCAGCGACCAACGCCAACCAAAAGTGGATGATCGCAAATGGAAAGATCAAGCACGCGACGCACGACAATCTGTGCTTGGACGTCGACCCGACCAACGAGAACCACGCAGCGCAGGTGTGGGCGTGCACAACGACAACCAACGAATCGATGTTGTGTCGCTGGAGCCGTAAATATCAATAATGTATTAGAGTCCACTATTTTCTTCTGGCAAATGCAAGGGATTGTGGATTGCATGTCGCATAGTCTGTACGAGCTCGTGCGTTTCGTATCAGACGTCGCCAGCGTCTGGAACACTGGCTCACCTTACCAGTGTCCTTAGACTTGACGCACGCACGACAGAGTGGACCCGAAAGTGGGCTGCGCGTGTGTTTGGCTCAAGTTGTCACGACGAGTTAAAGTGCATCACACAGCAAGCACCGCCAATTAACGCAGCCAACATCACTGCCAAAACAGCGTTTACCAGGCAATCAACGACATATTCGTCGTGCCGGGACTCGTGATCATCTCTCCTTCATCGTGCGTAGATGGTTGACTGGATAGGCGTGCAAGACAGTACGTACTCAGAAGACCAATCACCAAGCAGTGATCACCAAGCACTGTACTCGTATGAAAATGGACTGCCTCAGGTCCAACTGCTGATTACACGAGCGGCTCTGAAGCACACGAGTGTGGGTCCTGCTGGACACACATGTTGCCGTTCTGAGTCATTCCATTCCATCCCTGGAACGGATACATTACGGGTAAACGGTAAACACCCAAGTTCTCGTTGCTTGGCACGGGACACAAGCTCCTCTTCATACAATACACTGGGTAAATCGAATCTGACACGCGACTGGGAAAGGACCGCATCGGATCTGAGTTGGCACCCACAATGGAGCTTGCAGCGCGATCTCGCGCCGTTCACTCATTTTTTCTTTTGCCCCTTTCTGCGCAACAACAACAATGCTCAACGTCACCAAGCTATTAGCGCTACTTGCGTCCGTCGTTGCTGCGGCCCAGTGCGGCAACCAGGCATCGATCGAGATCGCGGTCAAGACGCCTTTGCACGTGGTGTCACATGGCGAGGCGGCGTTCAGCCAGATCGTCCAGCGCACCGGCGCGACGTTCGCAGCGCCTCACTTCAAGTCAATCAACGTGCCGGCCAACGGCAAGCTCACCATCACGTCGCTCGACGGCAAGGACGCCGTCGTCTTCAAGGGTGGCGAGTCCGCTACCAACGTGCGCGCCGACTGGCTCAGTGGCGCCGGCGTCGTCGTTGCGTACGAAGCCCCAACATACGTCAAGCAGGCGTCGCCGGTGTTTGAGATCGACGAAGTGGCTTTCGGGAAGCCGCCGTCGCCTCTCGAGGCGCTCTGCGGCGCCGACCAGTCGCAGCCCGCAGCGTGCTTTGCGAGCGACGTTGCCAAGACAAAATCGGGCAAGTCGGTGGCCCGTCTTATCATTGGCGGTCAGATTCCCTGCACGGGCTGGCTCGTTGGCTCGGAGGGCCATATGCTCACCAACAACCACTGCATCAAGACCGCCGACGCGGCCAAGGACGTCCAGGTCGAATTTGGCGCCGAGTGCAAGACGTGCGAGGACCCGAACACCAAAAACAGCTCGCGTGCAAGGGTGAGATTGTCGCGACGAGCGCGACCTTTCTGGCCACGAGCCCGTCCTCGGACTTTACGCTCGTCAAGCTCAACGTCAAGGACGGTGTCGATTTGACCAAGTACGGCTACCTCCAAGTGCGCCTCGACGGCCCCAAGCTCAACGAGACGATCCACATTCTTGGCCACGCGGCCGGGTGGCCCAAGCGCTTTGCCGTTTCGACGCTCGACGGCCCCGGCACCGTGACGAACACGAGCTTCCAGTCGCGCTGCCAAGCCGACGAGTTTGCGTACCGCCTTGATACGCAGGGCGGCAATTCGGGCTCGCCCGTGATTTCGACCGACGAGAATGTCGTTGTCGGTCTTCACAACTGCGGTGGCTGCCCCGACGGCGACAACGCCGGTATCAAGATCAACAAGGTGTTTGACATTCTCAAGGCGCAGAACATCGTGATCAAGGATGCGATCGCGTCGACCAAGCCCGCGTGCTAGGAAGATTTAGGATCGTTTTGCTCGTGGTATAACTGTCTGTCAATGCATGCAACAAAGTAAGGTTGTTTATGCTGAAAAGGGAAAGCTGTAGACACCGAGCGTCCCACGCGATTACAGTATAAGTGTATTACTGGATACGCGTTCTACAGCGGATTGCAGCATCATGAAACGCAGCTCCACCTTTTTCAAATGGGCGACAGCGGTAGATTCGGAGTGTCCAATCGACAAGAAAATCACTGCGTCTCTCGTTGCTTTCCTCCACGTCAACTTGACGAAGCCTTTCACAGACTGCAAAGTAAAGAATTCTGTGGCCACAAATGCCTACCAGCCATACACCAACAATTTTGCTCTATCGACCTCACAAATGGTGTATTGCTGAGAGCCAATTCGGCAGGCTCGTTTAAAGACGCATGGACATAAAACAATTAGCACGCGGGCTTGTCGCCGGCAATCGCGTCCTTGGGGAGGACGTTCTTGGCCTTGAGAATGTCGACGACCTTGTTGATCTTGATACCGCCGTTGGGGCCGTCGTCGGGGCAGCCGCCGCAGTTGTGAATACCAACGACGACGTTGTCCTTGGTCGAGAAGACGGGCGAGCCCGAGTTGCCGCCCTGCGTGTCGAGCTCGTAGCCAAACTCGTCGGGCTGGCACGACGGGATGCTCGTGTTGGTGACGACACCGGGCTTGCCGCTGTCGACGACGACCGCGAACCGCTTGGGCCAGCCCACGGCGTGCCCCAGAATGTGAATTTCTTCGTTGAGTTTCGGGCCCTCCGCGCGCACCTGGAGGTAGCCGTACTTCTTGAGGTCGACGCCATCCTTGAGATTGAGCTTCACGAGCGCAAAGTCGGCCGTCTCGTCCGTCACAACAAAGGTCGCGCTCGTCGCGACGATCTCGCCCTTGCACGCGAGCTGCTTCTGGTTGTTCGGGTCCTCGCACGTCGCGCACTCGGCGCCAAGTTCGACCTGGACGTCCGCGGCGTCGTCGGCGCTGCCGATGCAGTGGTTGTTGGTCATGAGGTGGCCCTCCGAGCCGATGAGCCAGCCCGTGCAGAGACCCGAGCCGCCAATGAGGAGACGCGCGACGGCCTTGCCCGACTTGGTCTTGGCCGCGTCGGCGGCGTAGCACGGAGCCGGCTTGGAGTCGTCCTTGCCGCAAATCGACTCGGCGAGCGGCGTCGGCTTGCCAAACGAAATTTCGTCGAGCTCGAAGACCGGCACGGCGCTCTTGGTGTACGACGGCGCTTCGTACGAGACGACGACGCCCTTGCCCGAGGCCCAGCTCGCGCGGACGTTGGTAGCAGACTCGCCGCCCTTGAAGACCTCGCTGTCCTTGCCGTCGAGCGACGTGATCGTGAGCTTGCCGTTGGCCGGCACGTTGACCGACTTGAAGTGGGGGGCCGCGAACGTCGCGCCGTCCTTTTGGAAGATCTGGCTGAACGCGGCGTCGCCGTTGTAGGTGACGCTCACCAACGTCTTCTCGGCGATCTTGTACATACCTTGCTCGACGCCCGTGCACTGCTGCGCGACCGCCGCGGCGGAGAAGAGAGAGAGCAACTTGGCAGCACCCAACATGACAAAGGTAGTGGTGGACCGCGAGCGGGGAAATGGAAAAGTGAAGATCGAAGCTGTGCTGTCCTGGATCTGAGTTGGCGTCGAGTGCATCATTGTGAGGGCCAAAACCAGATCCTTTCTGAGTCGAAAGCCAGCCGACGTCGTCAAACCCATGGACATGCGTCGTATAAATGACTTTACCCAAGTCAGGTGAGTACCGGTCTGCACCAATAGAGGTGGTTGTACGCTGCAACGAGCCGTGTGCAGTGACGAAGGGTTCATTCATGAGGTACATGAGGCTTGGTTGGACGTACTCGCGAGGCCAGAATACTGTATGCTATCCCATTCGTACCCGTAGGCTCCTGGGCTGGCGTCGGCCGTCGAAAATCTACAGCGCATGTCGTGTGAAGCGGCCCGCGGTGACCCACTCTTGAGTGTAATCAGTCGTGAAAGCGGACTCAGAAAAAGCAAACTCAGATCTCCGTAGTCACTGCTGCGCAAACGCGCGGGACTCTACAAGTCTGGGCGACTTGTAGAGCGAACCGAACGAATACCAGACGCATCAAACGGTCCCAAATGGCTTGCGCACGAGGTGGACTGAAACCGCGACCCTTGTAGAGCGATGTCGCGCTCGGTGGAAAGGTATCCAAATGCTTCAAGCCTCCATCGAGAGGCTTTCCGCCAATGAAATGCCAGTGACGCGTTGCGGTGTTCTGATTGGCGAAGACGATTCGCACTAGAAAGAACAATTCTGATGCGTGCGTGAACGCGGGCGGAGGCCGCTTCTATGGGCGCCCTCGCATTGCTCTGCTGTGCAAGGATACGGCCGAGCCTGCCCCCGCGCTCGATGGGCTGGCCGCCAGACCTGCCATTGCCGTGGCCGAAGCCGCGGGCAATGAGTCCGACCCGGGTGACTCCGACGACGAAATCGACCCCGAGATTGACTCGGTTCCGGAAATGCAGCAAGAACATTGGTGATTGGCTACAAATCGAAACATTTGCCGCTGTGATTGGCTGAAACGCTTGGCCTTGGTTGACGAAAATGAGAAACACCAACGAGCAAGGCTGCATTGCGACCGAGCGATACCTCATGATGATGGCCTCTACGTAGAGGCTGTGGATGGAGTGTTTTCGAGCACAATGCAGCAGCGTCAGTGGTGCCTCGGCGTCGCCGTCCTAGCGTCGCCGGTCTTTATTATTGGCGCTCGCCATTTTCAACCATATATGACCACATTTGGGCGAACTCGCCACGCCGGCGGATCGACCAAAATAATGTTTGAAAACGAAGTCGCCTGCCTATACTTGCCAGAGTAATAGAGTACACTTTGGAGAGTCCAAAATGCTATGTGGCGTCGCTGTACCGAGTGGAAATGACAGCGGCAAGCAGCACTATACGATATAGTGTGATGTGTTGACACACTGAAATACTGTACGAGTGCAAACAAGGCCTCATCGCGAGGCATATCGCGCGCACTTTGCCTCTCTCGGCCACACGCAACACGCTCTCGAACATGAATGAAAAGAGACGGCGTCCTCGGTTTCCGCGATTTCAACGCATTTTCAACCGAAATTTCATGTCGAATTTCGTGAAAACCGACGCTCGGCAGTACGAGTTTGGTGTGAGCGCCCAAGCAACGACGGCGCCCAACAAACTGGTCGCAGACCGGGTCAAGATCCATTGCCAACTGTGGCAGCCAGAATTGGGGTCTTTGGAGCTTTCAAACCCCGCGATATCATGTTGAGTGTTTGGGCAATTGTGTCGCCACCTCAAAAAATAAAAATGGATTTGCGCATCATTATAACGCCGCGTTCGGTGCCGGAAACGACATGTACGTCTTTGATGGAGTGTGGGGAGAGGTAGATACGGCGGCTACGTGGCGCTAGCGCGTCTGTGGGTCATACTTGTCTTTGTGGTGCATGCTACGCACACTATTTGAGACGACATTGTGCATACAGTGTTGTGATTGGCTAGAAAGAATCTGAGATCAAGCCAATAAAAAGCATCCATGTCAATCGAGTTCAAAATCGACAGCAGAGCTCGCGATGGTCCGGCCGTCGTCCACAATGCTAGACCAGCATCACGGCACCGCCTTTCGGAAGATACCTCCAGTGTCCATGAGCCATGGTCGGCACGGCTAAGGGATGCCCACGACGCGAGTATTTTGACGTAGGCGCACTGCGGGCAGAGCAGCAACAACCGTGCGCACTCGCCCAAGAAGCCGTTGCTCGCATTTGTGTGCGCGCGGCGATTGTTTGCCAAGCCATGTCGACATGAAGATGACGGGCCCTCTGCGTGAGAGTCGATGGCCTCTGAACCATAGTTGCCAGATCTCTCGTGGTCCGACGTTTCGCACCGCTCGCTCAATACCCGGTGCACACAGCACGAGTTTCATTTGTTCATTTGATCTCTTAACCGATTCCATCCGAAGCATCGCCAGGCCAACCACTTAGCGTTTGAAACAGAAATGACCTGGACTCGGTACATTGGTAGAGGACGCTGTGGAGAGCATGGAGTGCGAGGTCGCGTCGCCGTCCGAGGCGTACAGCAGTAGCGAGACAGGATCCAAGATGCAGCACTCGAAACTATTAATAAGATCGTAGAGCCATCTTAGCGGCCCCTCTTCAGGACGCCGATGGCATTTGTCGACGACATCATGTTTGAAATGGAATTGCTCATAGTTGACACCGTGACAGAAGACACTTTGAAGAGCAAAGCAGTTCAAGCTACGTTACCGCTGCCGTCCTACTCGACAAAGCGCTCTTTTGAGGAAGAGGTCGAACCTTTTCAAATGTGTATGTTATCGACTGTGCCTGTTCTCGCAATTCGCGTGGAAGGTGCCCTGTCCCATCACTCCTCGCGAGGCAATAGATGAGACGAGGATGAAGGTCCAGAATAACAATTTGACGTGTTGTTAGATCTAAAGGTCTATGGACCCTTACTAGATCGTACGAAACGACGGCTTGGTACGACGATTCCCGCGCCACATCATGTGTATGTAGTCGAAGGATAAAGTTGAGATGGCGAGCACAACGCACACGATATCAAAAGCTTTGTCGTTTAATAGTGTATACAATTGTACCAATTGTTTGTTGCATGCATTGACAGACAGTTATACCACGAGCAAAACGATCCTAAATCTTCCTAGCACGCGGGCTTGGTCGACGCGATCGCATCCTTGATCACGATGTTCTGCGCCTTGAGAATGTCAAACACCTTGTTGATCTTGATACCGGCGTTGTCGCCGTCGGGGCACCCGCCGCAGTTGTGAAGACCGACAACGACATTCTCGTCGGTCGAAATCACGGGCGAGCCCGAGTTGCCGCCCTGCGTATCAAGGCGGTACGCAAACTCGTCGGCTTGGCAGCGCGACTGGAAGCTCGTGTTCGTCACGGTGCCGGGGCCGTCGAGCGTCGAAACGGCAAAGCGCTTGGGCCACCCGGCCGCGTGGCCAAGAATGTGGATCGTCTCGTTGAGCTTGGGGCCGTCGAGGCGCACTTGGAGGTAGCCGTACGTGGTCAAATCGACACCGTCCTTGACGTTGAGCTTGACGAGCGTAAAGTCCGAGGACGGGCTCGTGGCCA